AGCACACCTTTGATTTTTCGAACTGAAGGTCCTAGATGGTAGTTTTTTCCAATATATACTTATTAATGAAAAGTTTATAATATCTTAAGAAGAGAATTGTTCAATTTTATTTCATTTGAATCGTTTATTATCAAGTTTTCGAATGAAACAATTCGTCTATTAATATATAATGTATATGTTGTCAAACGAAAAATAGAATAATAAAAAAGAATTGAAAAAATAACGTAAAAACTCGATATCTCTTGATTTCTTTTTTTGTTGAATTCTGTCGACAAAGAGAAAGAAATAGAATAGAAAAAAAGAGAGAGAGAGAGAGAGAAAAAAAGGGTGCAAATTCGTGGAGCGTAGGTAATAATTATAAGCTCTGTTAATTAAAGGGCAAGATTTAAGAAGAGAGCTTTGAGTCTTTTCTACACATTTATGTTCTATTCTTTTTTTTCTTTTGTTTCATTAACGAACGAACAAATGAATCAGTCGACAGAATGAAGCTGTGGTGGAGTTTAGCGTTGGTCCTTGTCGCCGCATCGATGTTTCTCAGCACCGTCGGAGCAGCATCTGTGCTTTGGGAGGAAGATGACAAGGAGATACTTGTACGAACCGTACGCGGCACCAAGGAACGAGGTATGAAACATTAACTTTAATTAACTTAATTAACTTTCTCGATGAGAGAGAGAAAAAAGAGAGAAAGAAAGAAAAGAGAAATGTTGTTCCCTTGAGATTTCTCTTGAAATATTCAATTTAGTCTTTTCATTTTCCCTATTATACCCTCGACAAATATTCTCAAAGAATATACATAGCTACTTTTAAATGAATCATTAATCCAAAGAATTTAATCCTTATTGTAACCAGTAATATACTACTAATTGCATTTTTCTTTATTTCTATAAAGTATTTTGACAAGTTATAATATTTTTAATCAATAGAATTTAAAATATTACTGATAATGAGTAATTATTTCAAGAAAATATTGTCTTTGTATGTTGATGATAAAATTATTATTCAATTTCTATGACAATTAATTATAGAGACAATATTTTTCTTCTTTTCCGAATAATTCAAATACGAAATACGGTTCACATTTGAAATATGATAAAATACGTTAGGTGCGTGTGCTCACGCGAAACTATAGATATTACATATGTAACTAAATAAAAGATAAAGACAAAAAATAAAGAAAGTGAGAGGAAGAACCAAGGTAAAGAATAAATGTAAGCTCTATATATGTATATATATATATAAATGTGCACTCTCTTTATACATACTACTACCTATACCTACATAAGCATGTATATACGTTGGACTCTCGAGAAAGAGACTGCTTGAAAGCTCTCTTTGTACATCATCGTTCTTTCTCCCAATCCCCTTTCTCTCTCGCCATCATCTCCCTGCATTTTCCTTTTTCTCAAGGAACGAGAAAGAAAAATGTAGCTGCTGGAATATCATTCAAGTGGAGGAAAAAGAAAAAAAAATCCTGATATCTTAAATATTCTTCTTCTTCTTCTTCTTCTTCTTCTTCTTCTTCTTCTTCTTCTTCTCCTTCTCTTTCTCTGTCTTTTTTGTTTCTATCTTACTAGAAGAATTTTTTCCATGACCGCAAAAGCTCTCTCTGTGCTTAATCGATCGAGGTACCCTGTTGTGCCGCATCGAGCCTTCGGGTATATAAACATATCAATGCCCCCTCCCACCCTCCTTCTATCTCTCTCTTTCCCTATTTCATGTTTTTTTACACCAGAAAGCTCGATCCATCGGAAATCGAAGAGTCTTTTGAGATAGTAGAAAATAAGAAGATTTACGTTCATGTTGATGACGACATAATGATAAGGCCATTCAAATAATCCTTTATAAAAATATGATGATGTTCTATATGATCTAATCGTACGTGATTTTTATACGTGTGTTAACATTACTTTTTAATAATTGATAATTTTTCAATTGTTATAAAAAAAAAAAGAAAAAAATATATATCACTAAGAATAAGTTTGAATAATAATATTCGAACGGGTAACTAAAATAAAAAAAAAAAAAACCTACAAAAATTCAAATTCGACGAGAAAATAAATGTTTTTCCTGTCGTCGTGATTAAGAAGAAAATGGTCACCAAAATGGATGACTAATTGAAAACAAATTTGCTTGCACCAATCAATCGAACGTGCAGGACCGATATTAGAGTGTAATTATCGGTAGCACAACAGAACGACGAAGGCACGTTCGTTCGAAATTAAGGTCTCCTTGATCACCACCACCTCGGTTGGTCCACCACCTCGGTCAGCGTCGTTCCTATACTACTACGCTCTTCCAAGTTTCTCTATCCCACTTGATACTCTACCGCACTTGCCAATTATCTCTATTGACGTTTTGCATCTCTGATGCAGCAGCAGCATCCGGCAGCGCCGCTTCGTGCAGATACGTCAAGGGTCAATGGTCGGAGTGTGATTCAAAAACCAACACTCGTTCCCGAACTCTTAGTCTTAAAAAAGGAGACAAATCTTGCGAACAAACTAAGACTATTCAGAAGAAATGCAAGAAAGGTAATAAATTCGCATGATCTTTATTTAAATGTGTATATCATCTATTCCATTAGACGATAAATTATTTTGACTAATTTTTTTCTTAGAAAAGATATTAGACATAACATTTTTTTTGTTTTTTTTTTTCTTCTCGCGATGTATAATAATATATAATGTATTAATGAAAATTTTTAATTCATCGTTATTAAAGAATAACAATAACAAGAATTTGTGGTACTATGATTATATATGCGTGGCGGGGAAAACAGCCTGTCGGTACGAAAAGGGCACATGGAGCGGATGCGTGAATCAACTATCGACGAGAGTGGATAATTTAAAGACAAACAGTGATCCCACTTGTGAGAAGACACGTTTGATTACCAAGAGGTGTAAGTCGGAGACCACCAATACCAAGAAATCTGCCAAAGGAGGTATATAAATTTTTTTGTAATAAAAGCAGCACACACACAATAATCAATACTTAATGACTCAATTATTAAAAATATATTATATTATGACCCTTTGATAAATATTAAATAAATTTATTAGATTACACACATTTTTGTATGTACAAAATTAAAGCAAGACGAAAACACTGAAAGAAAGAGTGAGAAAGAGAAGGGGCGGGGAGAGAAGGGGAGAAAGACAGAGCAAAGGCAGACTTTATCAGGACAAGCAAAACAGAGATTCGGCGTTCATTCGACTTGATGAAGAAGCGGAAAGTAGCAACACCCACATCGATAACGAAGGGGACCCTTCTCTCTCTTTCTCTCTCTCATTCTCTTTTTTCTCTCTTCATCGAGTGTACTCGATGTCGGCATTGAAAGAGTTAAAGATAGCTTCTTGTAATGTCTCTATGGGGTCATGGACAGAACGAACAACGAATCTGATGCGCAAAAGGCTCTGCTATTAAACATGAACCTTCTCTTTTTCTTTATTACTAAATAAAAAAATAAATAATATATATTTTATTTAAAAGATGTGTGTGTGTGTGAATTACATATATATATATCAATATATCACCATGCATCTAACATTTGTTAATCTTTTTCCAGGCGAACGATCGAACAAGAAGTCGAGCAAGCAGTAAAATCATTTTCTTGTCTAAATGTACTACCGTGTCCCTTTGTAAAACACCCGACGATCAGCAAAAATCCAACAACGGGCAACGAACAAAAAATGCATTCTTGAGTTTCCTTCAACGTACATATGGATATGTTTGATTAACGAATTGTCGTTGTATTGATAAATCGCGAGTATACTTACTACGATCGAGACATTTTCGTCGATCGATAGAAATAATAATAAGAATAAGAATAATAATAATAATAATAATGATAATAAAAAAAGAATAATAATAATAATATTAATAATAATAATAATAATAATAATAATAATAATAATAATAATAATAATAATAATAATAATAATAATAATAATAATAATAATATTAATATTAATATTAATAATAATATGATGATAATAATAATAATAAATGAAATAAAATATTAATAAATAAATAAATAATCGTTTCTGTGTATAGGGGTGTACAATTTTGTCACGTAACAAACAAAATCAATCAAATAAACAAGCCCAGAAACACACATCTTTTCTTTGCTGAAAAAACACATTCGTTGATCGACCTTAAAAATTTGGTGAACGCACGTGGTATACACCAAACGCATGCGTAAGAATTAAAAAAAAAAAAGAAAAAAAAATAATCAACTCTTGTTGCGTTAGAAAGAATTATTATTATTATAATATGTATATGTACTAATCGTATATCGAGATTATATATGATACCCTTATTGCTTCTATAAGTATATATTTACGATCAACTCTTCCATTTACGCGTGGCCAAATCTCACTCCGTGAAATATATTTTACATATATATACATGTATATATATTTTGTTGTATTGAAACTTTTTTCATTTTTTTTCTGCAAATAATTTAAATGTAATATATATGGTACCGTGAAAGACTGAAATTGAAAAATGTCAAGATTCACATGGTCGCTTGGTGTATGTCCAAAATATTAATGTATATCCAAATACAAATATTTTCAGTCTTTCACCGACGTATTATTTGGTATGTGTAGACAAGCGACTATGTGTATCTTGACATTCTCTAAATTTGGTCTTTCACGGTAACATATATACATTAGTCGAAAGTTTCTGGATAGGTCAAAAGTCTTTAAATAATTTTAAAAATCAATTACACTCTTTTTCGCAACTTTTTAAAAAAAGTTTTCTTTTCTTTTTTCTTTCTATTGTAAAAATAAAAATTTAATTACAAATGTAAAGCCTCAAAAAAATATACGCAATTGGTTTTTGAGAACCAAATAAAATTTGGCCCATCTAATGACTTTTGTCCGTATATGTGTTTGCGTGCATATATATATTAAAATTTCTATGATGACTTTTTTCTCATTGTCAGTATATAAGTCAAAAAAAATGAAAAGAACAAAAGAAACAAATATAATAAAAATAATGTATTGGATAACTTTTATATTTAAGTAGTACTTTTCTAAGCACACCATTAATTTGTTTATTAATTTATATTTTGCTTTCTCTATATTTTTTAATTTTCATTTCACGGGATACTTAAAAACAAATTAAGGATAAATACAAGATAAAGGAAAAAGAGAACAAGAAAATGTCACGTTGAAAATATTTTTGAGTTTACCAAATATGTAGATGTACGGTGTGTCGATGTTTAAAAATAATTATGTATATTTTATGTAATAATATGCAGTCTTCGTAATAACGACGATTACATTGTCTATGATGTGCATTCTTAAATTTTTCCATCATTTTTTGAACATGTGTCCTTTCTTGTACACAGTTTCACAATCGTTTGAAAAAAAAGAAAAAGATTATAAAAAATAATAAAAAAGAAAATCAAAAAATACAAAAAAAAAAAGAAAAGTATCCTTTTTATCTCTATAAATGGAAAAAAAACTCGTTAAGGATACAAAAATAAATAAATAAAATAAAAGCCGATGAGCACGAAAATCAAATGACATTAACATATTACATTATCTCGAAAAGTTTTATAATTTTCGGTACCATCTCTCACAATCAGCCATGGCTATGTTTGTCTTTTTAAAGTTAAGAATGGTACCCAATAATTATAAAACATCTTTACCGAAACTATAAAAAATCAAAATGTTATTCTCCAAACTCAACTGATTGTGAGATCGATATTTACTGTTTTTAAATCTAAATGTGTATACAAAAGTTTGTCGGTAACGAGAACAACAGCAAGAAAAAGAAAAAGAAAAAAGTATATATATATATATATATATATAAGAACAATGAAATAAAAGAACAAAATAAATAAAAATAAAAATCAAGTACGCCTTTTAGGAAAGATTTTTCGTGCCTCGATTACGATATAAGTATATCGAGCGTAAACAAGCATGATATCAAGAATCGTAGTTTATCGTCTAGATTACGTATATACATCCCATATCATCGTGATGATTAAAAATACAATTTATTGAAATAGTGACATTTTTAGGTAGCGTCATGCTCATTACATGTTCTCTATAGGCCCATTATTATCATATAATATATAGTTATTATTATCATTAAACGTGTCTATTAAGGATTTAAATAAAACATCATGCTTGACTTCTCTGTGTGTGGAATTTAAGAATTAGAAAAAAAAAGAAAAAGAAAAAAAGAAGGAAAAATATTCGTCTTTTAAACAACAGTGTAACATAACATTAATAGAAAATACGTTAAACGATTAGAGAAGAAGTAATTTTTTCAAATCCTTCGATGATAGTAGATCACACATCTTATTGTTAGATTTTTAATGTTTCTCTTTCTCTCTCTCTCTCTCTCTCACTCACTCTCTCTCTCTCTCTCTCTTTCGTAACGTGAAAATACGAATTTCGGTATGTAATTATTATTATTATTATTATTGCTATTATTACTATTGTTGTTATTTTTATTATTATTATTATTCGCTTATCAAATTTAGAAATCTACAACATTGCAATAAAAAGAAAATTTTTAATTACATTATTATCGATATTATGTTCGATGATCGTCAAGTTTCATTGATACTATGTTTAAATAATTTAAGCTCGTTATTATGAATAAATTATTATTATTATTATTACTTTCTCTTACATTATGCAGTAAGCATTTAGCCACTGCCACGAACACGTAATCAAAATTGATTCAACAGATTGAGTCGAATAGTAAAGATTAAATTTTTGTTTTATCATCTTATAAGGGATATATTCTGTTTTTTTTTTTATTAAACTACTATTTCTTTTCTTCCCTCCTATTAACATTTTGACTCGGTATATCTTTTGTAGTTTATTTGGCCTGTCACTGGATTTATTTATGAATTGACATTATGTAATAAAAATAATTAAAAAATTGTATAATGTATCTTCTTATTAAATAATATTGTGTAATCATTACACATGTAATAAAAATCCAATGTTGTCAATAAAAAATAAATATTATATATAAATTCTAAATGCATATATAATTTTTCTAACAAATTCATTTTTTAATGATATTGTTTTTGAAATTGTAATTTTATTCCTATGAATTAAAGTGTATACAATGGAAATATTTATGCAAAGGAAAGCATTTTATTTGTAGTGAAAAATTTGACTATATAAAAAATACAAAATACTTGTATATATTATATCCTAGATATTACATAATAATTTATAAAAAGTTTATATATNATAAAAAGTTTATATATATATATAATACTTGTTATTATAAAATCATGGACGGATTGAAATATTATCTTTGCTTTGGCTATTGGAAATTTCTTTTAAGACATTTTGTGTATCTACGAGTTAAACATTATAAATTCACAAGCTATTGTTTTAATTTCAAACATCTTTGATAAATGTTTTGTTAAATTCAAATAAAATACGCGTACTTTATATATTATAAAATAGTTTGTTATATAAAATTAATAAAAATTTAGTGTATATATATATAAAGTATGTATTCTTCTAATACAAAAATGGACGGAATTTATGTATGTTCCACTTATAATAAAACATATAACTCTACTAAACACTATAAGAAAATAATATTCATAATATTAAAAAAATCTTTGAATTAGACTTTAGCTAATAACAATATATATAATTGTGCAACTATATATCTAAAAGAATTTTGTTTAAAGCTGTTAGGTATATAGTTTTTCTATATATTTCTAAAAATTTTAAAAATTTTTAAATATATTTAAAATATGACAAGTTATGCTAAAGAAATAGAAAGCTTACGAGAATAGGTTTTTCCCTCCCATTCTTGATCAGAGGGAAGAGATTCATGACGTACTTTACAAATACGTGGCCCATATTTGAGAAGTACCATTATAACACAAACTACAAAAAGCGTTAAACAAGCACTGGCTGGCCAAAATACGTGTAAACCCATTGTGCAGTTATTTCAAAAGACTTTTCGATAAGAATTTGCTTTCTAATCAGACTCTATTAATCTTTTCTTCGATATTATTTTCTACTTTGTACAAATAAGAAACACAGAGTGCTTCTATACTAATACTAAATGCGTTTACAGAATTTTCTGACCTTTGTACATATGTTTCTCGATCATAAGCTATTAAAATCAATGTGATATTAAATTTCACTTTCACGTTTATGCATCTCCAAGTATTCCTGCGAATGAGTACCTTTTTCGAGAGATTCAGTATCGTGATACTCTATTATTTCAGACTTAACAATTGGATGGGCAATGCGAACGGATTCTAGTTCACTTAAATCCAGAGGAGGAGTTTTATGTGGCAATACTGTCCACAAAGATTGAATGTATCGATTTCCTATAACAAATAAATTAGGATTAATTATATATAGAATTGAATGCACCTACATGTAAAGATGGAAACGTGCAACTAATATATATTAAATATAAAACATATTAAAAAAATAATAGCTATAGAAGGGACAAGAGATCATATCTTATTAATTGAACATTTACCGGTATGACGATCTTGCCAATAAGCTTTGTGACGGGAACACCAACAGTAGAATATATTCAAAAGAAATATAATTCCACCTATTATCGAACAAACAGTGATAGTAATATAGAATGGTGTGAAATCTCCGTATTCGTGCTTCACAAAATATGGATTCTTCAGGTATTCTTCGCGTTCGTCTAGAATAGACATTTTATAAATTGAAGACTTGGTTGTTTCTGTAAAAGAAATCAATTTATATTAAACCTAATGTAACAAAATGTAACAAACAAATATGCATACATACTTGAAATAAAATAATATACGCACAAGAAAGTATTAATTTTTAAATAAATGATATACAATATTTTATTTAAAACTAGATAACAAATAAAATACTTGAATGTTCGAGACTTATTAAAAACGAACTTGGAAGAAATTAAACGTAAAGGAAAGCGCGTATATAATAAGGCGTTGTCATGACGTTCAACTTTACGAACTCATTTTAAGTACATATAAAACAATTTATATAAATAAATTTATATTAAAATAGTAATTAATAATTATCTTATTAACTTAAGAAACTAAAAGAATTTAGTGAAAATATGAGTAATCCAAACAATAATAAATTACATGCTATGTACCAAGAACGATATTACATATATACTATAAATCTGTCTCGTGTTTTCTTTAGGCTTACATAGAATATGATTATTTCGTAGAATATACACATACATATACAAATAATTTTAACAAATAATATCTATCAATTTGGATTCAGTAAATATAAAAATACTTACAACAATTAATGAAAAACACACAGTAGATGTCCGTAAAATAATATATAGCGTGCCATGTTGGAATGTGTTTAGTTGCGTTGTCGTAACGTGCATTTAATCGAGTTGTATTGGGCGGGGCATAATAAATAGCGAGATGAGTAGAGCAGAAACATTTCATTGAATTTTAAACGCGTGGACGCTGACGTCATAATACAATGTTTCTACATTCTTGACCAATGAGAAAAGAAATTGAAAGCGCGCCATATCGAAGATTCAATTGCGTAATTTTTCTTATTATTTCAACACTTTTATCATGTGGACTATTACTCATGGTTATAGTATTGAAGTCTAGAAAGATGTAATAATAATTAAACTCTGCAATGCAATTGTAAGGATCACGAAGCCTATAATTCTTTTTGATATAACTTCGTGTGTACAACGAAAAGAATTGGAACAACCATGTTTACTTTCGCGCTACTTTCAAACGATTCTTGCGAGAAATCGATTATACTTCTTGTCATTACCACAAGTTGTCACCACTGTTCGCGCCATTGTGCTAGATACTTTAAGATTTTCTCTACATTCATAAGATTTCATAATCAATGATTATAATCAAAAATCATAATCAATCACATTTGAAAATAGTGTATATATCGAAAGGTATTACATTCTACTTAATTAAAATATTAGTACAGTATCGAGAATACTTGTTACAATACACTGGAACTATTTTTTATTTTTGTCTTTCACTTCTGAGTTGCAGTGAGGGTAGATGGATTAGATGATTTAGAATCACGGATTGAAGCACTGCGTCTTCGTTTAATTTCTTCTTTGCGTCTATTCTTGGCTTCCTTTTGCCTTTGAGCCAAGAGCTTAGCATAATCAGCAGCTTGTTCCTTACGTATCAAGCAACGCCTCTTTTTTAATGCACGCCTATGTCTCCTTCTCTGTAAGTATATAGACCAAATATATTAGTATCATTTAAGTGATTTGATAATATCTCGATACATATTGATAAATGTTTCTTTTATTATACCTGTAATGTCAAAGGTGTAATCAGGCGTTGAATTTTAGGAGCTTTAAGACGTTCCTTCTTGCCTTCTTTCTGGATGGGTCTTTTGACGACGAATTGACGTACGTCGTCTTCCTTTGAAAGATTAAAGAGCTTACGAATTTTGCTAGCTCTCTTTGGTCCTAAGCGACGTGGAACTTGCGTATCAGTAAGTCCAGGAATTTCCTTTGTGAAAATAATTATTAAGAATTAACAATCCTGATTAGTGGTACTGTAATTATCTAATCTCATAAAAATAATTCAATTGAATTTGTCATTGTCTCGTTAGTACACTGAGAAACAGTAAGAAATAATGTAACTGTTTCCCAAATTAAAACGATCTTTAATCTACCATGTCTACGATAGTATTTCAAGATTATTTGCCATTCTTGCATACACCCTAGTAACATGGAATCAGTAGGAAACAGTTGGAATTTCAAGTTTATCTTACCTGTTCTCCCTTCTTCACAATTATCAATGCAAGTACTGACAAATTTGCATCGACGATGCAACCACGTACAGATTTACGTTTTCTTTCTCCGTCACGTCTGGGTCTGTAGCAGGAGTGTCCCTTTGATAGCAATAACCGTACACGACCTATTTCAAGTATCATTATAATATTATCTTCAAGAGAAAAGAAATAATATACCTACGATTACATGAAAATAAAGTTAAAAAATACTTACCATTAGTCAAGATACCCTGCTTCATAGGAAAGCCTTGTTTGTCATTCCCACCAGAAATACGTACAACATATCCCTTCCATTCATCACCAAGAGAATCAGCTTCTACCTCTGCTCCCATACGTTTCTCATAAAACATTCGGAGCTTGTGCTCGTCCGAAATTTCGAATAATTTTTGACATCCTGTGGCTGGAAACGATACGTTCAACTATAACAGAATAATTACTAATGATTAACATTACGAAAATTTCTATTTGAATGTTGTTACAAATGTAGAAGTTAGGTTGTATTCAACAAGACTCCACCTAGTTAATACCTAGCTGGTCCCAAGCCCAGACGAAAGAGGAGAGTTCGAAGGTGAGGCTAGCAATCTACCCTCGGTAAAAACAATAAAACGCTCCCAGAAATAGCAATAAAAAAAAGCTATTATAACAGGATGAAGTCTTAAAAAAAAAAGAAGAAGGTTGTATTCTTAACATGTTTATTCAGTAATATAAATATAATTTATATAAAATAATCTAATAACCTCATATATATAATTAATCGCAAACGGCGAGGGAAACATATAACTTCAATAATCTAGATAATCCACATTAAATATAAAAATAGGACGCGAAAATAATTATTAATGTAAACTTAGTATTCGAGTCTTCGTAGTATTTTGAAAAGTTTGAAAATTCTTAAAGGAAAAATGATCTTGAACAAATTTTTATATTCTTACCTTCATCGTGATGAAATTTTAATACTATTGTGGAGTTACACTAATTGTTCCATACGCTCGTAGAGTACGCACAAGAAGGATACGTGTGCCCGTCACGCCAAAGCTTGGCGCCTCCGGCACTCTTATCGTCACGCCCCTAGTGGCGAAACAAAAGAACTAAAAAAACACCATGCATTTGAACAACCGCTGCTATTCGCGCTCTTCCGTCCCAACCACCGAGGGAGACACGCGTGCTCACGAGCAGCGACCAAAGACGTGAACACTAGTCACTACTTCCTTTTTCCTCTTTAAGATTTTGTTAAGTTTGTTATATATTTTGTACAAGACCTTTTTGATACGTTTTATAATAAAATATTTATATAATATTTTTCCCTAGTGAATTAGTGATTTCCTAATATAATTGAACACGCTACATACGCACATGGAGTATAGGAATGGAGAAAGAACGTATGAAGAAGGAATACAAATATCACTACTGAATTCTACTGCAGACTATATATATATCTATGAGGATCGATAATAAGGATGTAAAATGAAAGAGTTTTCGGAAGTCAGGGGAACGTAGGAACGTGGAATAGTGATAGAGATAGACTATTATTATATCAATTGAAGCGGAGTAGTGATGAAACTATTCGCAAATTCCGTCTCTATCCGCTATTCTCGACAAACTATTTTTCATAACTCGATCCTTACGAGAAGTCGATTATATTTTTTGTCACTATCGTAAGTTGTTGCAACTGCTCACGCTGCTTGTGCTAGGTACTTTCCGATCTTCTTTAAGATTAGTTTTATTCTGTAAAGAGTAAAGAGGAAAATCCCTAGCACCCAATTCTACTAGGAAAGTTTTTTCATTGTTACGGTGCATCAGAATCTTGACGAATCTTATTTTCTTAAAACTAAATTTAAATTACCTTATATGTATCTATGAGAAATAATTAATACTAATATTTAAATAATAATTTTAATGCAATAGGACTTTTTTATAATTGCGTAAATATCATTTAAATGATTACAGAAAATGTATTATTATCTATTAAATATTAATCGTAATTAATCTTTTTTTTGCATAATTCAAGAAATTATATAATAGCACTATATTCTTTATGCCTCTAAAAAATATATGAATACTTGACTCGCTTTAATAAATATTAATTTTTAGAATAAATATTTTACACTTGAGCAACTTTTGTTATTTATAATTCACCTTATCTATAGTTTTTGATATTTGAATAACAGATATAATTCGTCATTCATATATAATGATATAGTTTCAAAATAACTAATCATAATTATCACAGTTGTACATAGGAATGACGTAAATCATTAAATTGGTTTATATAGGAGGGTAGTTACATATTTTTTTCGATAGCGATGCGTAGCTGATAAAACCATTACACTGTCTTTAATACTTAAAGCATATAGATGATTTAACATTACATGATTTGGTTCAGGTAAAAGAGTTGGCTCGCACTGAAAAAATTCTTAATAATTAATACATATTTCCTATAGAGTTTTAAAAACTATTAATAGAGATTAATTCTTTCATAATTACTCACTGATAATGGTGTATCTTTATTAAGAATAACTTGCAACAAATGTGGTGGTAAGATTGGGGGTCCAACTACTTTTTCCCATGGTTTATGAGGTGGTATTTCTTGACCATATTCAGTTTGAATGCTGCTCGAAACACCCTCGCTATCTTTAGCAAGTGCTTGGAAAACTTCAAAATCTGATTTTCTTACAGCTACTAAATTGTTTTTAGAACCCATACCATTGTCAACTATTTTCTAAAAATATGATTTATTGATCGTTCTTTTAATATATGTTCTTACAATAGTAGTAAACTGAAATAAATTAGTAGATCTACATCTTACCAAACCAGGGTCATGCCTCCATTCTCCATCGACGTAGAATTTGTACTGATGTTCTCCTTCTGGTAGATCAATAATAGTAACAAAATCGCCATGGCTTTTTACCATAGGCAGCGTTTTCCATCCTGTGAACGTTCCACTAATATATACTTGCTTGCCGCCGCCTTCCCATTTAAAAACAGTAGGCAATACTTTGCTATCGGTAACTTTCGTTCCTTCAGATACTGTATTAGATCTTGGACGTGGTCCACCAAAGTTATTTCTATCCTATTAAGTTATTTATATAAAAAACCAAGTATATATCTATTGTCATAATCAATTTCTATAGTGTTAAATACTTTAGTATAATAAGGCTCTTCTTCTTCTTGAGATGATTGGAAGACTAGCTTTTGATCAGGCTTTTTGTCAAATACGAATGCCTGACCTTCCTTTCCTGGAGAAGATGGTGCATGTTCTTTACCATGACGATCTTTGCTTGGATTATGGCTATGACTGACTGTTTGATTACTCCCAGCATTTCCCATTATTGTGTAATAATTTCTCTAAGTATATAAGTTACATTTTCAATATATCTTATTTTCCTATCAAAAATAATCACTTGGGAGTAAAATGTTATTTCTTTTTTACCTAGTTAAATGAACGAAGCAACGTCAAGGGATCCCGATTTTTTATTTTTCATATGACTGCGATTTACGACGTAAGTTGTTGAAAAAATAGTAAGAACTATAATTGCATCTAATGGAGCAAAAAGAGAAACAGCACGAGTAGTAGTCAATATACCTCACGTTTTTGGTGCAGAAAATAGGCGGGAAATATGAATTATCTTCTCAATTTTTCTACATTTTCAATTATGTTGTTCTTATTTTTCATTTATAATACAATTGATATTAAATAACAGTATAAAAAGCTGATAATGTTAATATTTTATATTTTTTATATTTACAACAATTATATGATATTTACATAACAGAATATAAAGCATGTATATCGTCGGTCGATAAAGTTGAAAAAACCATGTTACTAGACCAAAAAATATCATTTTCATAAACGATTTACATTTTACTATAGTTTGTAACTATTCATTACAATGAACGAAATATGTAAAATAAAGCGAATACATGAAACATATAAATATATATAAGAAGGTGTAACTTAGTTATAAGAAACAAAATAGTAGCAAATGCTGAAACACATTGCAAGGTAAGAAGTGATTATTATTACCACTATTATTATTATTATTATTATTATTATTATTATTATAACTTTATGTATATGTTATATCTTAATTAATAAAATTACATATCAACCAGAACATCCTCTACAACCACAATGTATACATTCCACTATTCTTCCTTCTTCTAATTTGCCTTTTGGTACACGACAGATACAATTTGTACCAAAATTTGTATCTCTTGTTTGTATACATCGCAAACAACACAAGTTTTCGTATCCAACTTTTTTCCATTTTGCTATGAGATTTTGGTCCGCTATGTTTTCATTCAAACAGTAGTCGTACAATTCTGTAAGTGGTACAAGATTATAACAAATGATACAATTGTGATATATATAACAATAATTAACAATACATTGAAAAATAAAACATGTATATATTTAGGATACTATAGATAATAACGAATAATAATCGAAATAAAGGAAAACTTACCGCGACTTATAGCTTTTCGTCTATAAAATAGATCATATATGTACCGTGATTTTTGATGATGAATTTTAAATATCGGCCATAAAGATTCCTGTTTACGTTTACCTTCGTGTGGCTCTGTTTCGGCTGTATACAGAATAATTTAAGTATTTTTTTCCTTTACAGTAAATACAAAAAAGAATTCGATAGGATAACTATTAACCTTAAAATGTATCGTAGTTTATTTACCTTCGCGCATTTTTTGTTCCAACTCTTCTAATGTTGGTTCAATTAATTCCCAACCATCGGGTGGAGATTTTTTACTTCTTCGTACCTTCGGCATTTTATTTACGAATAAATACTCAAATACAGTACTACTTATAATTTTAAACGCATCTAATATTTACGCGATACTTTCACCTATGAATATGAACATTTATATTTCATATAGAGTGTTGATCCTTCAGAAAAAAAAACAATTCTGAATCTAATGTTTATTTTTCATAATTTATACTAATATTGTATAAAGACTTCTCTCTTTTTAATTCTTTTATCATGTAACTAAGACCTCAAGAAAACATAAGCAAACAAAAGGAAAAATTTGTATATATTTTTATTATACGTGATTTTTGTTTTCAAATTCATAGACGAAAATTTGTCCAGCATGCTGATTGGTGATTACAAAAGCCTTTTATTGGCTGTGCGGAGACATATCAACATTTTTTAAGACGTAATTTCATAAAAGAGAAATTAGACTAATATTTTGACACACACACAAGATCAGAGAGGAAGAGAAGAAAATTGCGTTATCATAGAAAAATAAATTAGATTATATATTATATATTGATCGACATTAAATATCATAGAATTGATTCATTTAACAGATTACAGGATAAGATTTTTAATTATTTTAATTTTAATATTAGTATTATATCTTAATTTGAAAAAAGTTTAATAAAGAGGAGAATTCACGGAGAAATTAAACTTTACCATTACATTAATCAACGACCAATTTCAATTTGATTGGCTGTGCCCTCATTACCGTTCACATGAAGATTCTCGGAGACTTTAATGCCCAAATGGTTAAACAAATCGGTATATTTATTTATGGGTTTAGCTAGTCATTTTATAAAGTAACGTCAACATATACAGGGCGTTTATAAATTAGTTGTACCAAAGTAAAATTAAATTCTAAGAAAAGTAAATGGCAGTCAATTTTGGCTAATAAAATACAAAAAGAAATGACAATACAACAAAAATGCAGTGTTGAATTGCACTAGAAGGCTTGGCGGGACGCAAGTTGAGCACATGGCTGGCATAGAAATAAAGAAATAGAAATAAATATACGTAGGATGTAATAATATTTATTTTATGAAATATTAATATTTTATTGTTGTAAATTTAAGTATAGAATTAAAGGATTGGATGAATATGAGAAAGGGTTAGAAAAGTAACTATAGATTTGAAGTGTTCTATTAAAAGTCACGCAGAACACATTTGATTACATTAACGATCGACGGATTCATAAATAGATCCACTCCACAACATTCATGATTACCATGTCATAATAGCCACAATAATACTATAATTAATAATTATCTCGTTAGTAGTAATGACAAATTTTACATACTCTTATTTTTTAGTTCGTAGAAGAGTAAGCGAGTGGCCCCTCATTTCATAGAGCATAACGAGGCCACTTAAGGATATTTTTATTCTTATAACAATGTTATCCACACGATTTGTTGAATTGTACATATCGGTATATATTTATAACATATATATATATATATATATTTATATATGTATATTTATCCACATTGGTTTACGTTTCCAGGATCTATCCATTATGTATTGACACCACACACACACGCACACATACATATATATGTATATGTATTATATATATATATATATGTTTATAAATATATACGCAGGCTTATAAAATATTATTTTTCGTCTTTTAACACCTAGAAGTTGAAAAAAGGCTAATATGCACTACAATTTCACGAATTGAAGAATAATTCTGATATTTAAATATGATGATCGTATGGCCTCATGACGATTATATTTATAGAATGAAATTGTCGTTGATCGACCGTAGGATAGACCTAATCATGAGATTAATTATGATTAGTCTCTGTAAAAATAGAATAAATACTAATATTTCTAAATTAAAGGCTAACAACCAAAAGATCATATATAATTTTACATTTCTAAATGCATATATTTATTATTAAAAGAAAAAGGAAACGCAACGTTCATAAGGACGTTCGATTTCAGTTTCTATTTCATTTTTTTTCTTATTTTTATTTCTTTTTTTTTCAATTAATTCGGCCTATCCTACACGATTCGCACGCCAGATCGCGTAATTAAAATCAAAAAAAATTTTTTGGAACGATTATCTTTAAACATGATCTTCAATGTTTGAAAATCATGTCAATTTCACGAAGGCGTCCATCAAAGATATTTTTTTGTTTTTTAATATATACATTGGTAGTATTTTCTTTCCTTTTCCTATTTTTTTTTTTTTAGACTTATATTTTTGTTATGAATTGTCTATTATACTCTTAAATGCGTCTTTTTTTGGACGTTAAATTTATATATATAATTATATTTATATATATATTTTTCTTATTGACACAAATAATAAATATAATGTACAATTTTGTTTCGTTCAATTTTTCACGCGATCAAAATTTGGGATGATAATCGAAAAAGTTCAAGGTTAATGTCGAATAGAGAATGAATATTTTATTAAATTTTTCTTTAATTAAATCGTTCAAAATGGAGACCTCGATTTGACGTAGCACACGTTCAACGACACTACATTTTTTCTTCCATTATTTTTTTCCCTTTTTTTTCGCTCCTCCCCCCTCCTCCCTGTTTAAAATTACACCATAAATGTGCCGACACGGAGGACAAGTGCAATCATCTTTTTCGATGATACGGGCCGTCGAGAGTAGAATCACGTTATTTTAAACATTGGAATGAAAATCTTCTCGTTTGTATTTGTTCGGTCAAGTTCGAATTTATGCTACAATTATTATTATTATTATTATTTGAGCCACGTTTATTTAGAAAGTTATGCGACTTAATCCTTTTTTTTTATTTGCCAACGAAAAAATTTGATTAAAACAACAAATGTCATTAATTGATTTTTATTTTTTAAAATAAAAAGCTCATCTTTTGTTGTAGTCATCTATCGTAATTTTGAACACAATCCAGTCAATTATTTTGCTCGATTATGTTATTATTATTATTATTATTATTATTCTTATTCTTATCATCGAAAGCACCGGTCGAGAAAACATCTTTGCACTATCCTCATTCTTAATATAAAATAATACATATCTCGATAATTCAAACTTTGTACTTACTTAACTTATGTAAATTGCTACGTCACAGGATATGACTTTATTATATTAAAAACGAAGGAATATTTAATCCTTTCGTTACTAGCGACCAATATACAGATCGTACATGCAAAGGCCCCGTATGAACGATTAATCGACCCATATAGGGGTCGTATATACGTACACACGAACGATACTCAAGCCATAGCATGCCGTAGGGAAAGGGTTAAATATGATTTTCTTAAATATCGTAAATGTAGGATTTCTAAATTCTGCATATTTTTACAAATCTTTCATTGGAAATATTACTATTATTTTTATTAATTGTCGTAGTTTCTATTTCAAGAAAATATATCACAAATGAACGATTATCCTGCGACGTAATATTACCGTAGCCTAAATTCCCATTTGTTAATAAGGAATATCCAAATTTCTTGTGGCTACGCGTACGTAAATACGTCATTTTGAATTATTCTAAGATATACATTGCTTCTTCTTCTTCTTCTTGTTTTATTTTATTTTAATTTATTTTATTTTAATTTAATTTAATTTAATTTAATTCAATTTAATTTAATTTAATTTAATTTAATTTAATTTAATTTAATTTAATTCTTTTTTTTCTAAAACATTCGATCGATCGTTTATTCCAGTCATTCGAAGAAGATGGATTTTATTTTTATTTATTTATGTATTTATCATCTAATCCAGCTCCTTAAAAATGATTGCTGGAAAGTGCAGAAAGCAGACGTATGCATGTATTTATGTATGTATGTATGTTGGATATATGTATGTATGTATGTATGTATGTATGTATGTATGTTGGATATATGTATGTATGTATGTATGTATGTATGTATGTATGTTTGTATATTTCAGTAACATGTACGATTTTGCTACAACATTGCTCGATAGAAAATTCGTTTTTTTTTTATATCTTTTTTTTGATTTTTTTTTCTTAATAACGATAGATATTCATGTCGCAATTTCGACAAGATCCGCTTTTAATTCGTCCACGGATGCCAGTCCTAATCCTGTATTAATTTTTTTTCTGTTTCCTTTTTTTTCTATTTTTTCTTCTTTTTCCTTTTTTATACACACTCGAGATCTCAATGATTATTACGCACAAAAAAATATCTTTCCTCTTACAACGAATCGGGATGATAGAAGATTATTTTTTTTTTTCGCTAAGTTACCACGGAATGTTCGTAATTTGCAGTTTATCAAAACCTTCCTATCTTTTTTATTCTTTCTGCCTTTTTTTTTTATTTTTTATCTTCTTTTCTCCCCCCCCTCTCTCTCTTTCTTTTTCTCTCTCTTTTCCTTTACTTTTTTAAAAACTTTTTACTTTTACGTGTATTTTTTGTTTGTTTGTTTATCTTCATCGTCATCGTCATCGTGATTATACCTGAGCTGTTGGCGATCGATACTCTAAACGCGCGACTACTGGCTAAAAAGTACTCGCTTTTTAATACGTTGTTTTTTCTTTTTTTTTAAAAAAAGAAAAACGTAAATTTTCCCTACGTTTTTTCACAGTTATGTCGGAAAAAAAGGTTCGTCGCCTTGAAGATTTTAAACGCACAGGGTGATTCGACGCGTGTTACTTTTAACGACGCATTTCTTATTTTCCGCGTACGGAAAACTCGCGAGAGAGTTCTTCGACGGAGAGGTTATTATTCCTTTTTTTTTTCTTTTTTTTTTTTTTTTTTTATTATTATTATTTATATATTTATGTCTTTATCTTTTTTAAATTTTTTTCCCCTCCCTCTTCCTTCCTCGTTTTTTTTTTTTTTTATTAAATTATTGAACACATATTCGAACTTACGCATTGTTCGAGCCGTGTAACACACGCAAGTAAAAGTGTATCGCCTTTTTTGAGATCGTTCGTAATAAAAATTAGAGAACATTTTTTTTCCTCTCAACGGAGAATATTTTTCTTATTGTTTATCATCAATTGTTGTCACACTTTTATTTATTTGGTCAGTATTTTTTATGATCTTCAGATTTTACCTTTGACGTACTTTTTGTAAACATTTTTTTACATACGTTGGAATACATTCAATGATATCGAACGTAATTTTTGAAAAATGTTTACAAAAATACTGATCTGATAAATAATAACATTTGATTTTTCATTTCATTTTTAATAGAAATACTTCAAAAATAAAAATATCAGATGAATTGTAATTTTTGGATAAAAAGAATGATGTCTTCTTAATTTTCAACCAATTTCGTAATTGACATGGTAGATATCTCTTTCATGTTTATTAAGTATTTTTTTTTTTTTAAATTATAGATCTCACGTATTTCTACGATACACTGATACCGTTTGGATCCTTAATAAGACTAAAATAAGAGTCTAACGTCGCCCCGCGGCGTTAAATCATCTTCACTTTATCTTCCTTTTTTTTTTTTCTTTTTTTTTTTTTTTTTTTTTTTTTTTTTTTTTTCTCACGTAGCACTTATTTCAGCTTTTTTTTCTGATCAAGTGTAAAAATATAATTCTCGTCGTGCTCTCTTACGCTCTCCGTTTTTCTTTCTTTCTTTATATCTCACAATCTTTCTTTCTTTTTTTCTGGATTTTCTACATTTTGCAATCGTTAAAAATGTTGAGAATAAGATCGCGACTTTCGAACAATCATTTTCTCACGTATGTACTGTGAGATTGTATTCTATATATTTATATATATATTTTTTTTTTTGTTCACAGACTCGAACGGTACACGTAAATTAATACATGGATACTTATTTACTTACTTCGAACGATACTTTCTCATTCTTTCGTAAATTTGTCTATATTTATGTATATTCAAATGCACATATAGTATTTACTTATTTGTTATAAGTATATATGTATGTATTTATATTATATTATACAGGATATCCCGACTTTTTTCCGTATAACGATACCAACATATTCTATGAGTAAAAATAAGAAAAAAAATAATATAGAAACATTATAACAAAAATACGAGATAACAATGGACTAGTTTTTGTTTGATATTGTACAAGAATAGATCGATTACTTTTTTAATTTCTTGTTGATTTTTTTTTTCATTTCGGTGATCGATTCAGTACAAATTTTTTCAATTTATTTTTTAGACGTATCAATTTTTGTCTGGTAGATCTTTTCTTTTCATGTTTCTAATAATAATAATAATGTTCCCTGGTATTGTTATATGGAAACAAGTCGGGACACACTGTATATACAGGGTATCTGGTTGTATGTAGCAAGTATATCAAATGTGGATTCTTGTCACATACAACTAGATACCTTTTATATACACGCATACAACGGATGACCCATATAAAATCTTACAAATTGTTTTTATTTTTATCCAAATAGTACAAAATAATTTTACTTGTTTTCAATCGAACATTTCGATTTTCTTGGATTAGTGATCACAAAAAGAAGAAAATTAAAAATCCATTGAAATTTATTACAACAATGATTGAAATAAATCAAAAAACAATTTGTAATGCTTTACGTTGGTCACGTTGTGTAAATGTATATGTATATATGTTATGTTCGACAGAGAAATAAATAGGATGCTAGCGATCTACGTGAGGACTTTCTGTGTCATGTTATGCACCTCTATAATGTGTATGTGTAGATAATTCTTCGTGTCTCTCTCTCTTTCTTATTTTCGCGTCTTTTCTTAATTATTTTCTGTTATCATTATCGTTAAATCTTTCATACAGTTAAAATTGCAGATTATAATGTTCTGATAAAGAGTTTGCTAATAAAGTAGGCTACTTAGAATACTTAGTTAATTAATATTCGCTATGGATAATGTTATCGATTCTACGTAAAGTACGCGTCCTACAACATACATTCACAAAATGAACGTTCCTCAAATACATATTTTATGTTATAATGAGATCATTTTATAACAACGGAATTGAAAAATTAAAAAGAAAATAAATGTAAAAAGGAACAAAGAATTACACGAGCTGTTTATATTATTTTTCATGTAGTCCTTTGTTTAATATACAGGGTGTTTGAAGTTATTCTGATGTCAGCATATTTTATGCACGAAAATAAAAATTAAATGTTGAATAAAGGTACATCATTTAAAAGTTATGATTTCATTTATAATTATAAATGTTCACGTTTAATGTCCAACGGGATTGATCTTAAATTCGATTACGTTTACCTTTTCTTATGATATAAATGCCAAAAATATTTTCAAATCAAGAATATGCAGACATTCATTACGAGTATGGTTTGCGCGACGGATTTTCCATTCTTTTCGATTGGTTTTCGTGCATAGAATACGCTAATACCGTTTGGTCGGAAAAACTTCAGATATCCTGCATATAGAGTCACACGCACACTCATACACACACGCACGCGTGCGCGCGCGCAATATTTTCCTAATCCTTTTTCTTTAATTATTCTGCGTACTGCCGTTCAAAAGATTTAAAAACATTCATATATATATATAGTTTACATTTACTTTTATATATATTTATATTTATATATGCGTGTGCGCGCGCGCGCGTACGTAATTTCTAATTCTTTCTTAATGGTAAAACAGTGTAATTTTTTCTTTATAATAACACCGGCGAATGATATACAGAGTAATATAATTTTTAAGACGAGTTTTTTTTTTCTCTATCTTTTTATTTCTTTTTTTTTTCTTTCATCATTACTTCCCCCTCCCCAATGGATGATAAGCCGTCCCCTTTCATAGAATTTTTTCTCAGTTGCGTAAAATGTTCCTTTTTCTTTATTTTTAGTATTTGTGGGAATTTTGTGTTTTTTTTTTTCCATTACTATTTGGTTGTATTTCTTTTTTTTTTTTTTCTCTCTTTAATTTTATTTCTTTGTTATATAGATTTCGACGAGGCACTGTTTAGAGTTCATACTAAAAACAATAATAATTACATATATTTATTAATTATATCCAACGTCCACGCGACACTTAAAGCATATTCGCGGACGTGCATTATTCATAAGAGTACAGCATTGTTTTTTAAACTTCATCTTCTTCTTCTTCTTCTCATTTTTTTTTTTTAATTTTTACATATTGAAAATAAATCTCTTTACTCCTTCTTACCGTTTATCTCGAGTAGGGTAATTTTACTTTATTTCTTTTTTTTCTTTTTTTTTTTTTAAGTTTGTTTATCGATTATTTTCGATTACTTAATTTTAATAATCCACTTGGGCTACCGAATTTCAAAATAACAAAGTGACAAGTTAATGATTCCATGTTTTGTTTTATGATTATTCAGTTTCTATGTTTTTTTTTTTTATTTCTATTCGTTCTTCTATAACTAACGATGATGCGGATTTAATTCATTCAGGTCATTGAGCGTGTATGTGGTGTGTATGTGTGTGAACCTAATTTGTTAATGTTAAGTATATCTTCTTTTCATTTTCTTTCAGAAGCCACCAAAAATATATTTTCTCGAAAATTCGTCCGAATCAGTTCCGAATAATATCAAATGCGTTTCATGTTGATTAAAACGTTAAAATTATAATTATTTAAAATAATTAGAATTCTTAAGTTTATCGTAATTATATTTTTAAGTTGGAAAAAAATAATGAAGGATTATATAGAAGAACAACAAAAAAAGTACCATTAGAACGTTATCGATTTTTGTTGTGACGTGCAAATTTTGGGTGGGTGGCTCAAATTTTTAGGTGATATGTCAGCTATAAACTCTTTGTTCCTTTATTATCGTATATTTCAAATTATTTTAAAATTTTAAAATTACAGAGATCATTTTTTTCGTTTACGGATTGTCGTGTTTTAATCGACAACAGACAATGATGAATTATTATGCTGCAGAGCTGCGTGTAATATATAGATATTGTAAATCTATGATATATTCAAAAAAAAAAAAAAAAAAAAATAAAAAAAAGAAAAGAAAAAAAATAATAACAAGGAAAGGGGAAATTAAAATATCATATTATAATAATAATAATATTAATAATAATAATAATAATAATTAAAAGTAATGAATGAGAACAAAGAAACAAACAAAAAATAGGCCAATTAAAGTACAAGAACAATTGGTTGAAGGAGATCATCAGTTCTTCGACTGATTTATGATAATCCGAATGTTTCTTTTCTTTTCTTTTCTTTTCTTTTCTTTTCTTCTTATTTTTATTTTATTTTTAACGACTATAAAAATTCTCCATTAAATGTGTTTGAAGAAATATTTAAATATATATATATATCCTTATCTGGATAAACGTTCTGTGTGATTTTTCTTTTCTCTTTTTTCTTTTTTTACTTTTTTTCTATTACAGTTATATAAATAGGCATTATCGTCGATATTAAAATTTTCTTTTTTTCTTCTTTTTTAATCGTTTACAAAAATAAAATAAGAGAGAAAAATTTATCCTATCTATGATAATGAGTCTCGAAAATAAACATTTCCTATCTAATTGCGGCTAAAGGACGATCGTACGATCTAACTAAAAAACGAGGAGTGGTTGTTCTATTATGTCATTTTCATTTTCAATTTTATTTTCATTTTCATTTTTTCTTTTTCTTTTTCTTTTTTTTCTTTCCTTTCCGTCCGTATTATTTTTTCTTAACTTTTCGTTTCATATCTCTTTGTTTATATATATCCGTTTTCATTTTTTCTTTTGTTTTTGATAACTTTCTCCCTCTCTACTTCTCTTGAATTCACGACTCGCCTGTACGCGAGAGTATTTAACCCTTTGACTACAAAATACGTATAGAGAACGATAAATAAATGAGCATAAAACGATGTGCGAAATTCCGTCACAGGGATTGATCCTACGAATATTGTTTGTTGTGATGGTATTCGTGCGAAAGTGAAGTGCCGCAGTCGAAGAGTTAAAGAAATATAATTTTGATTAGAACGATTTAACAAAAACGACGACGCGTGTTTTAAGTTGACATCGTTATTCTTTTCTAATAAGAACGACAATATACGTCCAATATAATCCATATACAATAATTGCGAATTTCGTTTTGTTTTTTCTTGAGAGTAATTCGAATTCACATAAGTTTAACACGCGATAATCCTTAGATATGAGATTTTCTTTTCCTATTTTTTTTTTTTTATATTATTTTTTTCGTCCTTTTCATAATTTTCCTTTTAACATTTAATGTAAGCAATTTCGCCTATCATGGACATCGTGGGTTGATCAAATTGGATTGTACGGGTGTTAACATATCCGAGATGAATCTTCCATGAGCGAGAATCCTAAAACGATTTCCGTCGTGCGAACCACACGGAAAACTCATACGTCATCCGATGTTGTTGCCTTTGTTATCGTTGCCACTTACGCGATGTTTCCATGATGGAGAACGTAGGCAGACATTATGAAAATCTTGTCCAAGTCTAGCTTGTTGAGGGTGTCCTGCTGCAATGCGTGGACGCGTCCGACGTTCTTGATGAGAGGAAGAAGAAGATTGATGCTGCACAACTAAACTTGGCGTGCTATGCGTAGTCGTTATTGCTATGGCTGTTGTAGTCGTAACTGGTGATACGGATAGAACTACCGTAGCCGTAGCAGGTACTGGTGCCGGTGTCGGTATTTGTGCCGGTACTGGTGCTGGTACTGGTACTGGTGCAGGTGCTGATGCTACGGCATTAATCGTTGCAGGACCTGGTGCTGATGTTGGATAGGGAGGAGGTGGTATCGATGTCCCTCTCGATGTACCTGGTTCCGCTCTGTGTCATTTGCCATTTTGCTGTAGCGCCGCATTGATCTGCGCCCATAGTTCTTTGTTGCACGATTTAGATCTGAAATCATATATCCTTTCGTTTTTTTTTTATTCTTTCACAGTTGTTCCAAAAAATGAAAAAAAAATTATTTTTCTAAAGCTCATTGTTTAATGTTATTAATACCTTTTGATAGATTGAAGCCATTCCTTGAATTGCGTGTGCCCTTCCGGAGTTATATGGAATGCTGCTCTTGCCGCACAAACTACGCTGGCAAAGTCCTCGTAATCACTAGGTGCCAAATGATATAGCTTCTGATGCATGCACTGAATGTACCTATGGATTTATCATTAATTCAAATGATTGTTATTTTTATAGTTTTGATATGTCAACGATGTGTGCTGCTATGCTTATCGTAACTTACATTTGTTGACATTTGTGTACGAGCGGTGCCAGAGGAGCCGATCTCAAGTGTTGTAAAACCAATGTTGGATTATTTCTGGAGAGATAATGGGCTGCTTCGAGTGCCACTTCGTGAAGAACGAACGGACTTACGATACTGTTCACCGTGCAAACACATAATTGGTGAAGGTATTGAGAACCCAGACGTTTGGAAACTCTAAACAACCATTTAACGTCTTCTCCATATGGTGGATTTCGTGCATATTTAGCCTGGGGTCTGTCGTCGTGTACTCTACGAGCTAATGTTTCCAAGGCTAGCATACCTACGCGATATGCCGCAACTAATGCTCTAAATTGTTGATGCCTAAATCGTTGGTTCTGGTTATGAACCTAATGAAAAAAAAAGAAAGGAGTAGAAAAAAGCATTATCTTAAAAGAAAAGAAATAATTGTAAAATAATGTAATATACATTAACCTGTGGTTGCGGTCTTACAGTAGAGATGATTGGTTGAGCCTGTACTAATGCTGGTCCAGGCAAACCACTTTGTCCAGGAATAGGACCATGGGTTACTCCCGCTTGAACCTAATAAAAAAAAATATATTTTCAATGATAAATGATTAATTTTTTTAAATTGTTCTTTTGTTTATCTAATGGGAAAAGAAAAAACAATTTGCGTACGTTAACTGGCATGGTTTGTTGCATGGTGAATAAATGATGCGTTCCCGGCGGAGGTGGAGGTTGCGGTGCGTAGTATTGCGGCACTGGTGGTGGCTGTGCAGTTGGCGGTGGATGATGCGGATGTTGCGGATGTTGAGGATGCTGCGGGCATCTAGGATGAGGTGGAAAGGCTGTGTGATACATTTGCATGTGTGGTGGTGCGGGAGGTAGAGTTACTCTATGTGTAGGCATCGGTCCACCAAACGCTGGAATCGAATGATGCGGATGTACGAAACTGTAGGGGGCTACCGCATATGGCATGCCAACTCCTGGAATGAAAGAGAAACAAAGGTTATATGTATTGTTAGTTAATGTGTGACCAACGTGAAGGCATTACGATTAATGATTTTATAATGCGTAAATAATTATATGCACGTTCGATCAGATAACGTCGATGTTAAACGTTTTATGTTAATTAATATTTGTTTTATTTAAAAAACAACTAATATTATTCTTATGTCGCCGAAAAAAAAAGAAAATACTTTTATCTAAACACCTGGTTGTTGTATTATTTGTGCTTCGTGATTGTAATACTGTTGTACTGTACCCAAGGGTGCCAGAGTCGTTATAGTGGGATGTGCAGGATATGGCTGAGGAGGTGGTTGTGTACTAGTTACAACGACAGCCTGTGTTGGACCTGGTATCATTTGACCTGCAGATAAATCTACAGGAGGACCAGGTTCTACTAAAAGGGCACTGTTAAGATCTAACTGTAAAGAATCGTGTGGCATCTCATCTTGTTGTTCTCCTCCGGGTGTGTGCTAAATGTAAAAAAATATCAATTATAACGTTAATCAACTTTTTATTTAATAAATATAGAGATAAGGCTTAATGTAATATTGACAACTTACACGGATGTACAACTCGTACCAATATTTGGCAACTTGAAAAAGTACTTCTGGATAAACACCGCCACCTTTAGCCGTGTTTTCTACCGTGATGCATGCTTTTTCCAACATGACATCACTTTGTTCCTTACACTGTAAAATGTGAATATTGTAATGATATTAATAAATAGATGTCAAATAATTGTTTCAACTTCCATTAAGGATTCCATAAGTTTACCTGTAAAATAGCCCTCTGTACTTCATTTGGATTAAGGGCATGTGCATGTGGTAGGCAAGAAAGTGCCAATTCTGCGGCCGCTCTAACCATATTTGGATCGCTCCCTCTGGAAGACTTATCAGCAATACTGACAGCTTCTGGAGGAGTTAAATGACCTTCCCAACTTTCGATAAGGAACCATATAGCCGGCGCTCCAATTTCCACAGCTTGTCCAGTGATCCAAGAGACATGAGTAGAATAAGTACGACTCAACCAATTATGACTGACACAATTATGAAGACCGAGAGCGTATAAGCCCAATTGGAAGGCGCACATGTGTAAAGCTCTGTGCGGTACGTGATGATTTTGATTCGTTGATACTTGGGTGAACAATGAAGTTGAACTACTACCACCTGCTTTAGCTAATACAGTTTTTGCCAATTCACACATGAAATGTGCACCAGCTTCTGATGGTTGATTAGGAATTGATGGACATATTCGCTTACTCTTGTACCTAGACAATAATACAAAATTAGTTAAAAATAAAGTCATACTGTTTACAGGTATTATTATTGCAACACAAACCTAGTTTCTTTATTTCTGGTAGGTACAGTCTGCACCAATGGTGGTTGAAGAGTTAATGCATTCATGCTACTTTCTAATTCTGCACTAGTACTGCTGTGTGGTCTACTGCCATTGCTAATAGCGTTGTCACCGTTTCCAACGTCTGTTCCTGTTAAAGGCGACAAACATTCGTCTTCTCGCAAATGATTTGTCATCTGGAAAATATATTATAATCATTTTGAATACAACTGAATTATACAAACAAAATAATACTTGTTGTAATCATATATATTTCTTGCCTCAGGCTTGGTGATAAGATTAGCAGTGTAGTAACTACTAAGAATAGGAGACTTAATTAATTGATGAACATCACGATCCAAAAGTTTGTTCATTATTCTTGCTACTTTAGCTGGTGCATCCTTGTAATGTACAAGAAGAGTAATCGCTAAATCACCCCTGTAAAGTGTGTCATTGAGAAATAAATAATAATTTTCTTTTCTTCATCTTAGAAATTTTTAGTTACGACCAACGTACCTTTGACGTCTCGTTCCTTCGCAAAGAAGTGGATGATCCGCTTCACTCACGTTCGCTTTGAGTCCTAAAGCAGCAACTGCTGCATCGAAACCGAGTGCTTCGTCAGATTCTTTGCTAATTTCCGGACCTCCTGTAAATATTAGTTTTCTTTTCCTTAACTTTTCTTTTTTCGAGAATATTTTGAAATTTCAAGGTCTTCAGTATTTTAAAAAAATAAAACCCTTTAGAAATTTTTTCTAAACATAAATTAATTTCTTATGTTATTCTTAATAAACCGACTAACATGATGAAAGATATATAAATTCGTTAAGAAAAGAATAATTAATTTAAAAAAAAATGATCTTTAAGACAAATTTACATATGTCCCATACAAGTAGCGTAATTTTTTCTTAACAATTTTTCCCGTAAGACCATAAACAACAGAGACATTTAGGTGGCTCACCCTGTATATGATTAATCTATTAAAATAAAATAAAATAGAAAAGTTGTGTGTAAAAATTTTAATTTATGTATAGACTTATGTATGTTAAAAGTAAACATACTCGGTGTATTTAAAGTGTCGAATATAAAGCTTGCTAAAATAATTGGTAGCAATGCATGTCCTCTTGATCGTAATACCCCATCTCGTAAATGCGCTGCTCTCTGTCTGACCATATTTAGTTCTGCTTGTCCTAAGGGTATTTTTTTCAATAAACTTACGAGCTCGCTTTCTTGATGTGCTAGTTTGACCTGGGAAAAAGAGATAACACAGTTATGTGATAGAAGATAATCTTGTAGAATATTGTAAATTTTGTTAATAAATATAAATTTTACTTCTAAAGGTTTCGTATTTGCTGGTGGTCTCGCCATTTCTAAGCCGTAGAGACCTACTCTGAATGCAAGATTGTGATTTTCGGGATTTTCAGCGAGTACCGTGCATAAGAAGCAACATTTGGCCAAAGTGGCAGAGGCAAGGCACGTTAGTTGATGTGATGCTGGATTAACTTGTTGCTGAAACTTTATATCTATTAAATATCAACTCTGACTAATATATTAAAATCGATAGAAACTTAACACGTTGACTGCCACGGTGGTCAACGAACACCAGCGTTTGTCTTTTCACTAAAGCCTTGGGAGTAACCCGTTACCAGTATTATTATATTGTTTTATATCTTATTTTAACCTTTTGCATTCCACACATTTTTTATTGTCGGCCAATTAATTAGACAAAGTAGAGAAAATCTTGTATACAAAAAAAAAATTTATTTTTATTGCATAACTGAAAAAGAGCGATGTTTGCCAGTAATGTTGGTAATTGGAGTGCGAAGGGTTAAAATTGTAACCTTTACAATAAAAACACATGTAAAATTAGCGCGGCAGTCAAGTTGTTAATAAATACAATCTCTACTCTGGATTTTACTTTTTTCTTTTTTCCCTTGGATGGCAGAGGAGGTTCCTCGATCATTAAATCTGGAGGATTGGCTAGTAATTCTTCAGCTAATGTAACACCAAGCAGACAAGCCTCTCTTGTATGCCCATGAGCATAAAGACCCTCTGCTCTAGCAAGAAATATTCCCCAAGGATCTTCTATTTTCTTAAGATTACCCAGTAACGTATTTGCGCTGGGTACAACTGTTAAAGATGACTCTGTTTTTGAATCAGTTCCTGTATTATTAAGTGTTGCCTTCGAATCATAATAATACACGTTATATTCATCACCAGAAGGACTATCGCTGCTAGAGGATGAGCTTTCATCTTTTGATTGTCTCCTGGAGGCATCATTTTCTTGTTCAGATTCTTGCTCAGTCTTAGTTCCTGTTGTTTTAGTTGTTACTGTTCGCGATTTGTCACGATAGTCGACGAAAGTCGTCCTGCTACACTTCACTTCGTTAGTAGCCTTATTGTTACTACTTTCACTGCTATCACTCTGACTTTCCGACGAGATATTAGAGCAATGTTTATTCGTGCCTTCAACATTTTTTAAACTGACGTTACTGTTCGATGATGACTCACTACCTCCACCCTCCTAAAGGATTAAACATAATCATACATTATCATATTTTTTTAATCAATAAAAGATTACTTTTAAATGATTATAATGATCATATCAACCTGTGAATCTGTATCTCCACAATTATTTAACCTAGTACATCCCCGTCTCCGTAATAGCCGAGGTTCTGAAATGTCGGCCATGTCGGTATCATTTTCGCAAAAACCTTCCGAACTAACGCTGCTTCGATTTCCATCTCCGCCGCTACCTCTTGAACACAAGCCTGGAAATTCTCGCGGATTCAATCTTCGTCTATCCGTATAACTAAATTCTACGAGACCTAAGGATAGAGGTCGTCTGCTGTGATGATGAGAAATTGGTGGCTGACAATTTAATACCGCTGAACTCGAATTCACCTTTGTCACAGATATACATATTTTCATATTATACACTTATTCAGAAATATATTGCGAAAAATAATGTATGCACGCAGAAGGAGAGAGAAACAATAAACAAACCTGATTTACTTCATTACTGCTATCGCCGACATGTCTAAAACACGTAAATGGGCAATGATACATGGGATTGCTTTCAGCTGTGTACGTGATCCCTGGCAGAGCATATTCTTCCCAATCTAAATAACACGCCTCAAGAGCTGTTTTGAAGCCGACAAAGACAGTCAAGTCGTTTTTTAATGAATCCTTATAACTAATGCTATTATTTCTATTATGTGAATTATGAGATACAGATGTACCACGACTTTTTGTGACCTGAAAATAAATCAATCAATAGCTTTAATTGATAAAAACGTACGAAATTTTCGGGTAACCCAATAAAAATATATTCTTAATAATATTACCTTGTCAATAATTTTCATATGCCATGCCAAAAATTGTTCATGAAGTATTTCTCGTTCGGCTGGTGACAATCCAGGATTTAGAGCAGCCAATCTCCATAGCACAACAATTTCGTCACAAAGCGATGAACATGCATGTTGAGATGCGTGAACATTGCTATTCATATTACCATGTTTACCACCACCATGTCCTGTACCATTCAACAAAGCTACTTTGGTGTTAAACCACCAAACAATTATTTGTTCACAGGCCATGCACTCTTCCGTGATAATTTCTAAAAGCGGAATTGCATTACGATCTGTTCTCTTGAACATTTCACGAACGATTGAGAGGAGATTCCACATTCCCTCTGGTTCTCGACCTCTCAATGGTCTTAGAAGCGACGACCACTCGGCAGCAGCTGGAGGTGCGGTGGTGCTCAAATAGTTTACATCGCTGTAAAATGTCATTAAGCAACGTTCATTCTACGAAATTATTTTATTATGAACATTCATTTCATAATATAAATATTTAAACGAAAAAGAAAAGAAAGTTGTTCGAACCAATAGGACTTTAATTAAGTGTATTAGCAATGATGATTATTTATTGGGCTTTTCCAAAAGTTCATGCCATAAAGCGCCTATAATTTCTAACATTATGTTGATCAAAGATTAGAAACTAAGCTTAAGGTAACTATAAGAAAGTTTACCTGAACACAATAGGCGCTGGTACACAAAACTTGATAAGAATTTTCTTAATATTATCGTGCAACGTTTTCTCATCCAAATACCAAGATGTTTGATCGTGTGCCGAAGCACCTGCTGTAGGGTCAGGAGCACCACAATAGCTATTGATGGCATTTGGTTGAGCTGACAACAGTTCGTCCAAGAGTGATTGTGCAGTGGGTAGAATCTGCTGTGGCAATTCGCTGATGAGATATTGAGCAAATTTTTGCAATTGATCTCGATGCAATCGCGACAGGGATTCACTAACTGGTGCTCTTAGGCAGACTTGTGTCGGCTGAAAATGTTTAATAAGTTTTTCATGCTTTTTCTTTTAATCTTCATACACAAAATGTTGCACAATTGTACAAATTTTTATTGGAAATAGATGGTAAACATTTTGTCTTGGTAAACATGTGCCAACTGACATCACCTTTTGGTACTAGGGAGTTTTCATAATAAGAGTGAGTGGTGTATTTGTTTTCTATCGAACAAGCGAACTGATGGAATGGATTGACGTCACTAAGAACCTCGTTGCAAGGATTACTATAGCTGTTGGAACTATTCATAAAATTTTAGAGCATTCCGAAAATCTTTCAACTTTTTCCGCATGCCGCATTGCTCACTTGTCACAACTTTGAGCACATTCTGTGTGCCCAAACTTGGCCACTGTCGCTTACATTTGTTATCGTATTATTTTCACAACATCCCTTTAAACATACTTGGCACTGGAAGGTGATGTCAACAGAAATACACTTATCAACAACAAATGTTTGCCATCTTCCTTATTCTTCGCTAAAATTTGTATAGATAGTTTGACAACATCTCTTAAAGATGGTACAATATATATCAATTGTTTACCATGTGTATTCTATGAAGACAAACAGCAACTACGTGTGCACACCAATAAGCCTTGGAGGAACAAGTACAGTTGCACGATGTGATTTTTCGCCGATCAAAAGTTACTGCTACATTAAATTGAGATCTAGCGACACCAGACGTTGCAGTTATCAATGGCGGATTCACGCTGGCGCTTAAGTGGAAACCTATAGAAAAGATTATACATATTATTAAATCTAATGCACATGCATATACTTGCATTGATATTTTTATTGTCTGGATCGAATGATTCTATATTGTATAATTATTAAAAAAAAAAAAAAAAAAAAAAAAAAAAGAAATTCTTTCTGCATAACGATGTCAGCATATTCTACGACAAAAAATAAAAAGAAAATACGTCACATAAGCAAGTCATAAAAAATATATGAAATAACAATAGATTGGTTTTCGTTAAAAACCAGCATAATAACAGATTAGTTGCATTTAACTAATTTGTTGACACAAGCTGTGTTTACTGCTTGAGGTAATTGTCCAATAATTATGGATACAGTTGGATGATTGTCCGATACATTATACATTGCAATTGCGACAATGAGCATTAATCTCAACGATAGATAGGTCAGAGGAGGACCAAATCAACGGCCTTTAGAATAACCAAACATCAAGCTATTTATCACGCTACGTTTGTATATTATTTTTCTCTTATTTTTACTCGTAGAAATATGTTGGGGTGGGTATCGTTATGCGGATAAAGGTCGGTACACTTTTTGTATTGTAAAATATTTATACATATAAAATATAAATGTATTGTACAAAATAATAAATAAATGCATAGAGAAACGAATTTAAATATCGAAATAAATGAATTAAAGATATTTTATATACGCGAATTTAATCTATATTATTTTTTGTATAGATCATTTTCGTTATACGACGTTTACCTATTTGCAGAGGATTCTTGACACTTCTCGAACGATAGAGTTGTTCGCCACGTTGAAATTCGTCAGCGCTGCCATTCGCAAGGCAAGAATAGAGTCTTATGTCTTCCTCATTATCGGGAAAACTCCAAAAAGCTATCCTCAGCTGCAATTGTTCCGGAACCGGTGGATAAACGTGTTCGACCAATTCGAAGGGTATGTGTGAAGCAACGCATCGTGCCGCGAGTTCACACAACGTCGGCACTGGTGGATCATCTGAAAATAAAAAGTCCTATCCTTATTTAACATACATCATCGATAACAATGTATAGTATATTTATAAATTACAAAAATCTATAAATTATAATCAATTTAAAAAAATATACAAATATATATAACACATTACACATTATGTGTATTCATTTATTATGTGTAATACATGATTAATAATTAATCGATAATATGTATACGTATACGATTATACACACTAAATCAAAAGAGTATATTTGTACAAACACTGTTAATGTCATGTACAATCAATGTCTGCAATTTTTGTTGTAACTTTTACCTTTAGTATGCCATTTACAAATTACTTTTCTTTCATTTATTAAAACTTCGCTGATTTTTCGATACATTTTCATCCGTAACTGACTCACATTTATTCAAAGTGATTCGATATTGACAATTAAAGAAGTATATTATTATTTGTGTTGAACAAGATCACAAGCTAAGACCTATCAAATAGATTTGTAAATATTTTGATTTTATATTATATACATATAATTCAAACGATACAAATAATTTTGTGAAACCATTTTTCCTATCATTAATGTCAAATTAAATTTCTCTTAGAATAAAATGCTATTTTGCAATAAAATTTATATCAGTTTGAAAGTTTAGTTAAATTGTCTGACGGTCAATAATGTGTTTATGTAAAAAAAAAAAAAAAAAAAGTAATAAAAGAGATCTTGATGAGTGTTCAGAAAATGATAAAGTAGGGATGATAGCGTGCTACTACACGGGGTTCAATACACGATCGATGCGAATGCGTAGAGGGTGCAATTCTCGCTTATCGGTTATTTCATTGCTTTTTATTATTATCATTATACCTTAGCAAGATATTATCGTGCCTTGACCATTTCAATGCGCGTGAAGCAAAACGAAATAATATTTTTCATTCGAGAAGAACGATGAAAGGGTTTGTTAGTTTTTCAGAATTCTCTTTTTAAATTGGAATAATTATTTTCCTTTTTTATATTTATGTGAATACAAATATATATATATTTGGAAACGAGATCAAATCGTGTAATACAAATTAGCGTTTCTCACATTTGTTGCTGTGCAGCAGACCAATATATTTGTTTGTAATCATATTGCAGTTCAAATGTTTATACGGAAGGATAAGTCAATAATTATTTAATGGTATTCGTATTTTTATATGTGTTGCATTGCCAAATAATCATGCATTAGTAATTGTCATATTCTTCTTATTGTTCTTATGGTATTTTTTTTATTTATGTTAGCGATTCTGTCAAGCGATCATACATTAATATTTGTGCTATTACTCTTATTGTTCCTGTAAGAAACATCCTATTTTTACAACTGCAATAAGAAAGTTTTGGATGTCTAATAAGACAGTATTGGTATTTTTTGGTGCTGGTTATACTATCAAGCTATCATGCGCTTAGTATTTATGGTATTCTTCTTATTCTTTTTATGATATTTCCGTCCTATTTTTACGGCTGTAATAAAACAGTTTTGGGGATGTAATAAAACAGTATTGGAATTTTTTAGTACTGGGATTATATTATCAAGTGATCATGCATTAAAATCTGTTGAGAATATATTCCGTTATTTATATTCAATTTATTTATATATTTGTAATAAAAAAAGTGTTTCTCTGATCGGACCTCAAATGACTTTTTTTTTTTTTTATTATTTCCACTTGTACAATAATATGTTCTCGGAGTTTTATCGGTAAAACACTTGGCGCAGGACACCCCGTATATGTTTACATGATCTATATTATAACATTTCGATGTTATTTGATACCATTAATGAACGGCATAATTAATTATGATGTTCGTTACTGTCGTCATGCAATTATGATCCCCTGCTTTGGAACGTTAACGGTCGTTGCCAACATGGGCAACCGATATTTCACTAAAATCGGAACTTGATGCATGATCGATGCTCCTCTCACGTACTTCCGTTCTAAACCCTCATTCGTTTCTAAAGAGAGCAATCAAAATTTCCATTAGTAGAAGTGCATCGACATCGAAATGGCATTGTTCTCTATTAAATTAGTACAGGATAAATTGCAGACGTTTGTTAATTGCATAATGTTCTGATTATTTTAGGTGGGAAAGTGATTATTATTTTATTGTTATTTAAAGATGATTCAATTATTTTTTTTTTTATTATTCACATTATTATTTTTGGTGAATAAATTCTTTTTTTAACTGTAATAAAATAAATGAGTTGTCAATGTATTAAATAAAATTTAATAATTTATGAATATTCATGTAATGTATTATAATTATTATGCATCGTAATATATAAAATAAAATTGTATTGTAACATTAAATCGGAATTAAATTAATTAATTTATATTTATTCGATCAGTATTTTTATTATAACATTATTATGAATTCGTTAAAATTCTTATTATTTGTCCTCAAAAGTGTAATTATTCAAATTAATGCTTATAATAAAAGTTTGATTACAATAAAAATTAAAATTGTTTTTAAATTAATTTCATACACAAATTGATTGATTTTAAATTAATTTTGAAAACAATATTTGCGATGATAGCAATTAGTTTTACATTTTAATAATAATTTTTTAAAGATACATTTCGGTATGTTTATTTGAATAAAATATTGATTTCATTTACAATGGATAAAATGTAAATAAAATGTTTAGCTAGCAATCCCACTCAGAACTTTTTGCGTTAATATCATGATATTTGTACGAAAAGGAAACTCGACTCGGAAATAAATCTTTCGCGAGGGGAAAAGGGAAAAACATAGAGGGGAACGAAGGAAAATTCATGCGCGTTTACGCAAATACGAAGTTATTAATCCCTCGGCTTTCGGAGAGAAAATAAGGGGTAGGAAAATTTAGACGGAGATCTCCGTGATTCATTGGGGTTGATGCAAATTTCCTCGAATTATGGTAGAAGGAAACGAAGCTCGACCGTCTGCGGAAAGTAACATCCGGATAATTATTTTATTTGATGAATCAACTGCATTCTTCCAGTCAAAACTTTAATCCTTTCAACTCATACGTTACGTTAGAAACTGCGGTACAAATTTTCGATAAAACTCATACGTTACCCCCCATTGAAGTAACAAACAATAATCTTTTTCTGTTGTGGCATATTTTCTTTGTGTCGATTATTTTTATTCATTTATTTAATATTTTAGGAACATTTTAATTAAGTGCATTCTCCTTGTCGAATATTTAATTCCTTGAATTCATATGTTGAAATATCAATGTTAGAGATATTATCTTGAATATTTTGTTAAAACTAACAGTTGGATTGATTTTCATTTAATAACAGTTTAGTTATCTACGATATAAATATTTGAATATTTTATTTTTAGTCACGTCGCAATGTGCATCAGTTCGATTAATTTCCTTTCATTCGGCATTCAGTTAGTGTGAAATAAAATACAATGTTCAAAGAAATAAATATGAGAGACAAGAGAAAAATATTTCTATTCATAATTGAGATATATTTTCCATATATCTCCGAAGTATCAACAAATTTTGTAATTTCGACATAGAAGACTATTTTATAAAAGTTACGATCGTTTAAATAAAAATTCGCTTAACTTAATTTATATATCTAACAGTTTTTACTATTTTATATCTAAATAAACAATAAAATTGTTATTTGCTCTGTCTGCAATAACATATGGCACTGAAGTCAACTTGTGTACATAATAAAAAGTTACAGTGGAAATGTGCACTCTTGACATTAAACCCCCCAAGACCGAATTCCAAATACTGAAATCCTACGTTGAAAGCAAAGTTCAAGACGATTCTAAGAGAGTTATGAAACTCGAATTGGTATTAGACAAGGCACATGACCAGAAGAAATGACAGCTGGAGTAAGGTTATATTTTTTTTACACAGAGTGGTGGCCCCAAAAGTGGGGAAAAATAAGTTTAGGTCATCCAACTGCAAGCAAGGTGGGTTGAC